GTGTGTGTGTGTGTGTGTGTGTGTGTCTGTGTGTGTGTGTGTGTGTGTGTGTGTTGTGTGTGTGTGTGTGTGTGTGTGTGTGTGTGTGTTGTGTGTGTGTGTGTGTCGTGTGTGTGTGTTGTGTGTTGTGTGTGTGTGTGTCGTGTGTGTGTGTGTGTGTGTGTGTGTGTGTGTGTGTGTTGTGTGTCTGTGTGTGTGTGTGTGTGTGTGTTGTGTGTGTATGTTGTATTTGTGTTGTGTGTTGTGTGTTGTGTTGTGTGTGTGTGTGTGTGTGTGTGTGTGTGTGTCTGTGTTGTGTGTGTATGTTGTGTGTGGTGTGTTGCAGTTGTCCTCACAGCCAGGTGGCGCTGCGTCCCGGGAGCAGTGAGGAGGACGTGGTGTGTGGAGGGGGGGCGCGTTCACACTTCATCCTCAGTATTCCGTTCGTGGGCGTCGCTCTCATCCTCATCCCCGGTCAGTGCTTTTAGAGCTTCACTGTTTAAGGCGAGACACGACAGGAAGTGGACGTGTTTTTAATCTTAACATCGGAGCTAATTTACTCTCATTCTGATTTAACTTTAATGGAAATTTATAACAACAACAACTATTGACTCAACAGTCATATTTCTCACTCTGTCACAAAACACCATGTTAAGTTTCATTTTCAGACTAAATGTGTTTGTTTCATTCACACATGTTTGAGTTTTTAGTCCGTCTACAACTCCAGTGAGTGTTAAACGTGTGAATGAAACAAAACTACACTGACCAGTGTTGAGCCCCTGCAGATTTCTCCAAAACCACTGATTTGTCCCAGTTTTATCCAAGAAATGTCCCAGTTGTCTCTATTTTTGACCAATTTGTTTCCAACCGGCAGCAAACGGGCCAATATTTTGTCATTTTTTTAGCTAAAATACAAAAAAAACTGTTTGAAAATGAACACAAGGCACAAAAAATGCAACGACCGAAGTCCAATCAGATTAAATAGTGGCACACGTGAGTCGAGAAATACAATTTTATTATTACCAACCATCCAAATGTAAAAACTGGGACACACTTGGGTTTGAATTTCTGGTCATTGTAAACAAAACACAACTCCAGGTCCAACTCCAGGTCCAACTCCAGGTTTGTGACGAGGAAATAAACAGGAAACAGTGGAACATGGGGCTTTTTAAAGTAGCACTAACAAGTTTTACACACTTGTACATTTACTTCTACAGTATTTTGATGTGTAACTGTTGAATTGTAAACTGGCTCTGGCTCATTTTAATGACACAAATATATGTGAACATAATGCATTGGTTATTTAAAATGTATTATTTATTATTATTATTATTTAAACATGATTTCAGTTTCAGTTTTTCCCCTTTTTTCCTTTTGTGTCTCGCCTTTATTTTGCTTTTTTTTATTTGATCTTTTTAACCAGTGTCACTAACTTTTGGAGACGCTCTGTGTTACAGTCCTGTACAAGCTCAAAGGAAGAGCCGACCCCAAACGTCAAAATCAGAACCCTCAACCTTTAGCTGACTGCGTCTAACTGCGTCTAACTGCGTCTAACTGCTGTCTAACTCTGACTGATCCTGGCGGCAAAGTCCCGGTGTGATTCACTAACTTTGTACAGATTCTTAAACCGTTACCGTTGCAACACAAGAACAAAGGAAACTGACCTCAGCCTGAAGATTTTGTTACAGAAACATTATTATTATTGTAATTATTCTTGAAGTTTCTATGGACACTTTGACCCTGCGTGAGCAGATCCGGCGTCACGTCGGCCTCGGCGTCGCCCGGAGCTTTTCAAATCCGCTTTACTTTATTTGACTGAACAGTGTCATTGCGTCTGTGGGAGTTTAACGGCAGCTATAATAAAACTAACACTTTGTACGTACAGTAGTTGTAGTCTTAGTAGGTAAAGGTGCACTGTGGAACTTTTCTGCTGCAGGGTCCAGCACCTGCGTCTCCACAGAGATGTTCTTGCTTTGTCTGGAATTTACTTCATAACGTGGATTCTTCCGTCGCCTCTTCACCGTCGAGTATTTGGACACAGTGTTCCAAACAGGAAGTGATCACGGCCGCGTTTTCGGCTCCATTTGACTTCACATTGAAAAACTCTCCGTCCTCCCTCCTTCTCTCTGTAACTGCTGCTACGAGCGTCGGCGTTTTGGGCTTTAAATGTTCGTAAAGGGGCGTTACCTTCAACAGTCTGGCTCCTGATTGGCTCTGCGGTTGCTATGACCTGTCGTGTTGAACCGTATCCCGTCGTAGTTCGCCGTGATCGTGTGGCGGTCGGTACTCGTCGTTGTGGCCGCAGTAACCCCGGTTCAAATCCGGGTCACAGCATCGCGGAACAATGTCAGCAGACGGGTTCACTTTTAGACGGCGCGGTGTCTGGGTGAGTTTCCTCCGGGAGCTTCAGTTTCCACATCAACCCAAAACATGCCTCAGAGGTAAAACTCCTCCAGCCAAAGCCCAGTTTATGGTCGTGCATCAAATCGTCTGCGTCGATCGACATGCACCTTAAAAATTTTGTAACTACACATTGAAGAGCTGTGATTACATCGTCTCTACACACATTATTTCCGTTACTCCGCTTTCCCGCTTCATTTTGTTTACACAAACTCTATTTTTAAATCGTGGCCTCCTCACGTTTTGGCGGTAAATTACTTGGCGGCGCATAAACCTCGACGCAGATCCATGAATCAAAAACGACGGCGAAAAGGCGACGGCGGCAGAGCGCGACGAGTCCACGCAGAAATATAATTCAGCTTTAAGACAGACCTGACCGAGCCTGGAAACAAGATCACGAGATTGGTCCCTACACAAGGATAATAAAAAGAACCACAAAATAAATAAAAATACTCACAGCTGGAATCTCAAATCTGAAAGTGGCTCTAGGTTAGCGCTGTAACTGCTGGCCTCCATGAGCTTCATTTGGAGCCGAACGCTTACAGAACACTTCTTTATACAGTCTGTGATCTGGCACCAGGTGTTTGTCGTCAATGCCGTATTGTGGAACTTTCCAGACACAGCAGTTCAATCTCCATGGAGACAAAGTGTTTTTCACACATGGAGTTCCTCAAGGCTCGGTACTCGGCCCCTAATGTTTGTTCATTCATCTTGAAGTAGGATTCTGAAAGACCCGGTGCACCTTCACCCTCACACTCACCTCACATTCCACACGGATATTTCACATCGATGACTCTGTGCGTCGTTTAAATAATCTGTGTTTTTATTTTTGTTGAGTTGTTGGAGCTGTTCTGTCTGTGTCCTGCGCTCGTTTAAACCAGGTTCTGTGATCAAACCTGAGCCTGTGTCTCCAGACCCTCACCTGATCCACAATTAAATAAATTAAATTCATATTTATGCCGTTACAATTAAATGTGAGTCTAATTGTTCTCAGTAAAAGCTCGACTTTACATGAACATGTTTCGCTCGGCTCTGGGGACACAGGACACAGGTCACTAGGCTGGTCCATCATGGGAGAAAATAAAGTTTCAGATCACCTCGATTAGAACCTGCATCAGGTTTTATCTCCAAAAGATGATTTAAGAAGAAATTTGGAAGAAAACGGAGATGATTTCGATCAGACATGTCAAACTCAAACTCACAGAGACCAAAATTAAAAACTGGGACTAAGTTGTGGGACAAACTAAATATTTATTTAAAAAAATTCAACAACATCTGCAGGTTTTCTCTTCTTTGGAGATCTGTGATGTTAAACCTTTTCTTATTAAACTAATTGTTACATTATTTTCATTACATTAACATTACAGATCTGGAACAATAGAAAACAATAAATATTTAGTTTGTCCCACGACTTAGTCCCAGTTTTTAATTTTGTCCTCTGTGAGTTGAGTTGGACTCTCCTGGTTTAATCCACAGAGACATTTTCAAGTGTTTTGAACAAACTCTAAATATTAATTAATTTGCATAAAATTTGGACCCAAATATTTTGTCCACATATGGAACCAAATGCAGATTCTGATCTAGAGAATCTAAAAAAAATGTTTGGACCAGCCTAACAGGTCACTCGTGTTCATAGAATTTAAAATCAAAGACTTTAATTTTATTTGTTTTTTCATGATCATGTTTTATTTTCTTTGTTCTGTTGGAATTCAAGTCCATTAACAGTGACCGAGTTGAGCTGAAACTGACTTTTGTAAGAAACACCTGAGTAAAGTTTCACATCTTGAATCTTGAATCTCTAACGTTTCTGTGCTGACTCTTTTTATGTGCATTATATTTATTTTTAATGTAGTTGTTTTCTTGTTTTGATTCATCGCTGAAGGATTCTGAATTAGACGTTTTGTGTCGCTTGTGTCAGCTGAACTTAGTCTGAAATGTGAAATGAAGAAAAATCACCCAAAGTGAAAAAAGTGAAACAATTTAAAGCTAAAAACACAAAGGTCCTGGAGCTTTAGAATCCAGTTCAACCTTTTCAAACTCCTGTTCAGACTCGAGCTGCTGCACAAACACTTCAGTGAAAGTTCAGACCGCAGACTGTTTCTATAAATGATAAATGGATGTGACCTGTTTGGAACAGTAGGAAGTGAGCATGGGGGGGATTCAGGCTCCACTGTCTCTGGCTCCAACTCACTTTGTACTGAAAAACTGTGGCTCCTGTTTTCTCTCTGGACCTGCTGCTGTGAGCCTCGTCATTTTGGTCTTAAAATGTTCATGTTAACTCGCTCCACATGATCCACAGGTTTTTTTTTTTTCATTAATTTTTTAAAATATATTCCAATCATTAATATGGAACTCTGCTCCAAATTCACTCTATAACTGCTGGCCTCATGAGCTTCATTTGACTGGAGCTGAATGTTGTGGGTTTTATTTATACAAACCACAAGGACAAATACATGTATCACGAATCTCAGACTTCTGGTCATTGTACAATTCACACTGGGAAGGATTTTCTGAAAAAGTGAACATCAAACCTCCATGTTTGTTTTCCCAGTGGGACGTGTCTATTGACAAAGTGGATCTTTTCAAGTCTTTTGAACCATGTCACTTTTGTTTCTGGTTCTGATATTGTCATATTTTAGTTTTGGGATTCGGACATCGTAATTTTGTGGTTGTTGGATCCTAACAGCGGAAAATGGCTCGAGAAATTTGTTTGTGAACTTCATAAATACAAAAGTGAATCAGATGTGTGTGACTCAAACCTCTGTTCAAACTGTTTCTCTTCCCAACAGAATTGAAAAATAGTGAAAGGTGAAGGTGATGGGCAGGATTGATCCACAGGAAGAACCAAAAAGGAAACATTTGTCTGACTAAGAAATCATCCCGAGTTTACAGAGAACATTTTGTATGTGGAGCAACAACAAAACAAAATCCTGATCCTTCACTCAACCTTGGTTATGAATTTAAAAAGTCAACACCAAAGTGAAAGTCTCCAACTGTTCACCAAGAAACACCTTCCACTGCAAAGACCAAGACGTGATGTTTCTGTAAAACCACAAGAACAAGAAAGTGCAGCTCAGTCTGTTTGTCTTCTGCTCCTCTACATTAACAAACAGGATTTTGTTTTGTTGTTGCTCCACATACAAAATGTTCTCTGTAAACTCGGGATGATTTAGTCAGACAAATGTTTCCTTTTTGGTTCTTCCTGTGGATCAATCCTGCCCATCACCTTCACCTTTCACTATTTTTTAATTCTGTTGGGAAGAGAAACAGTTTGAACAGAGGTTTGAGTCACACACATCTGATTCACTTTTACATTTATGAAGTTCACAAACACATTTCTCGAGTCGTTTTCCGCTGTTTGGATCCAACAACCACAACAATTATATGATGTCTGAATCCCAAAACTAAAATATGACAATATCAGAACCAGAAACAAAAGTGAAATGGTTCAAAAGACTTGAAAAGATCCACTTTGTCAATAGCCACGTCCCACTGGGAAAACAAACATGGAGGTTTGATGCTCACTTTTTCAGAAAATCCTTCCCAGTGTGAATTGTACGATGACCAGAAGTCTGAGATTCGTGATGCATGAATAAAAAAATTTCCTTTTTTTTTATTAACAGACCTCTCTCTCTGATTGGTTAAGCCAGCTGTCAATCACGCCCTCTGCATTCACATTTTATATTTCAACTTGCTTTTTCAATGTTTTTGTTTTCATGGATTTGAGATTTGTGCAATAATTTAGAGAATTTATGTAAGAGACGAGGGAATAGAAAAATTTACAGCGACGGATCTGATTTTGAAAATGGACAAAAGAGTGAAATAAAAACCCCAGGATCATTTCGAGCAGGTTAATAAGAACATTTTCAGGTCCAGAGAGAAGAGACATAAGATTCTAATGTGACTCAATGTTCATTTCTATAAACATTCTACGCTCCAGACCCACGTTTTGTTTTTTTGAGTTTTCATGGTTTCAGAGTCGTGGTTCTGAACAGGTTATGTTTCACTAAAATAACCAGCTCCACCCGTCCCAAAGTAAAAAGACGTTATACTTTATACTTTACTAAAACTACTAATAATCCAGTGCCAAATATGATGTGAAGAAAAATTTGGTGCCTGAACCATCCACATAAATGTTGATTTGATGAAAAACTGACTTGAGTAAAGTAACTGAGTACTACAAAGTGAAGTGTAATAAAAAGTACTTCTTTCTGAGCTGTTTTCCACATGTTTTTCATCTTAATAAACGTCATGTTTGTGTAAAATCTGTCATGTTTTTATTCATCAGGTCTGACTGAGGCTCTTCACTGACACCGTCACGTTTACATCATGTTTTTTAATTCTGAATTAAATGGACACAAACACCATCCAAACCAGGACTAAACCAGGTCTAAACCAGGACTAAACCAGGTCTAAACCAGGTCTAAACCAGGACTAAACCAGGTCTAAACCAGGACTAAACCAGGTCTAAACCAGGTCTAAACCAGGACTAAACCAGGTCTAAACCAGGTCTAAACCAGGACTAAACCAGGTCTAAACCAGGACTAAACCAGGGACTAAACCAGGTCTAAACCAGGACTAAACCAGGTCTAAACCAGGACTAAACCAGGTCTAAACCAGGACTAAACCAGGACTCTCTGAGGTCTAAACCAGGACTAAACCAGGACTAAACCAGGTCTAAACCAGGTCTAAACCAGGACTAAACCAGGAACTAAACCAGGTCTAAACCAGAACTAAACCAGGTTCTAAACCAGGTCTAAAACCAGGACTAAACCAGGTCTAAACCAGGACTAAACCAGGTCTAAACCAGGACTAAACCAGAACTAAACCAGGACTAAACCAGGTCTAAACCAGGACTAAACCAGGTCTAAACCAGGACTAAACCAGGTCTAAACCAGGTCTAAACCAGGACTAAATCAGGTCTAAACCAGGTCTAAACCAGGTCTAAACCAGGACTAAACCAGGTCTAAACCAGGTCTAAACCAGGACTCTCTGAGGTCTAAACCAGGACTAAACCAGGTCTAAACCAGGTCTAAACCAGGTCTAAACCAGGACTAAACTAGGACTAAACCAGGTCTAAACCAGGTCTAAACCAGGACTAAACCAGGACTAAACTAGGACTCTCTGAGGTCTAAAACAGGACTAAACCAGGACTAAACCAGGTCTAAACCAGGACTAAACCAGGACTCTCTGAGGTCTAAACCAGGACTAAACCAGGACTAAACCAGGTCTAAACCAGGTCTAAACCAGGTCTAAACCAGGACTCTCTGAGGTCTAAACCAGGACTAAACCAGGACTCTCTGAGGTCTAAACTAGGACTAAACCAGGACTCTCTGAGGTCTAAACCAGGTCTAAACCAGGACTAAACCAGGACTCTCTGAGGTCTAAACCAGGACTAAACCAGGACTCTCTGAGGTCTAAACCAGGACTAAATCAGGTCTAAACCAGGACTAAACCAGGTCTAAACCAGGACTAAACCAGGACTAAACCAGGACTCTCTGAGGTCTAAACCAGGTCTAAACCAGGTCTAAACCAGGACTAAACCAGGACTAAACCAGAATGGCTTCAGGAGTGCTTAAAAAACGGACTCTCTATGGTATTTTATCCCTTGCAATATTTTTAAGAAAACTGTAGGTTTATTTATACTTTATACTGAAATGTAATTTTAATGAAGCCAAATTGCCAATGAAATGATCTTATTTCTATCAGAAGCTCTAACTGCATGGAAGCTTTGTTATAAACATCATGTTCCCCCTCGCACTAGTTTATATGGAACAATGAATACATTCTGAAATGTAAAAAGTCAGTCTTTTTTCAAACCTGGGTGAACAAAAATATCATTTATCTTTCTGATCTCTTTGATGATTCAGGTCAAATTTTAAATTACGAGTCATTTTTGCAGAAGTATCAATTTCCAGTCCCTTTTAGAGAATTCAAGTCACTGAATGTTTGCCAAAGGGCGTAGTGCAACTGATGAAGAGTCACCAGAGGCTCCAGTTTTAACCACTACAATTTATACATAAACAGAATAGAATGTCTTAATAAAAATTGCAATAACAAACACATTCGGTGCAGTTTACTCAGCAACAATAAAACTCAACAGAGGAAAATTCTCCTGGAACACACAATTTCAAGATATTCAGTGGCATAAAACCTGGACTTTTCTCTTTTCAGCACCGATCATCAATAAAAGACGAGAACTCCACTTTAAAATCTGACACACATTTTACCCCACAAACATTTTTTTTATCCACATTTCTCCAAATCGACCCAACTTCTGCCTGTCACGCCCGGAAAACGTTCTTCATTTATTTTCTCATGCCCCATTAGCTCCACCTACTGGAAACAAATAGAACATTTTCTCTCCCAGAATTTACACGTAACAATGAAGTGAATGAAGAAAACGTCATTACCCAGTGAACACATCAAAATACAAAAATCAAAAAATGTATAAATCTATTTATTCTTCTTCACAAATACCACATAAACAGAGCAAAATTCTCAAGTACAAAACCTTATTTTCCAGCACTACTAATAGAAATAAATCATTACTTTCAATCGATCCAACATTTATCCTGCAAAAAGGAAACTTCAATAAACAACATCTACAGAGACTTAATTCATAGTTGGATAAATCTTCTCCTCATCCCTCAGTTCAGTCGCTGATGCCTCGTTCATTTCAGTTACTTTCTCTTATTAGGTTTGATTTACTGTCATGTTATGTTTACATTCTTTTTTTTTTTTTCAAAGTTTCCTTTGGTGTTTTTTGTTTCCAATGAATCTGAATGTCTGCTTTATGTGTGTAGTGTATATTACTGTATATATGTATAATAATTCAATAAAATAAAATAAAAATAAAAATAAAAAAGGAAAGAGAGTGACGCAGGCTCGGAGCGTCCAAAACCAAAGTGAAACTTACATGTAACACATCGTTCTGTGTGAATATTGTATTATATTCATATTATAATGGTATAATAAAAACAATAAAAGGTAACATGGTGATCTAAATATATAAAGATATGTTCTTTTCTTATTCTTTATACGTCGTGTTCACCACAGACACGTGGTCCGGGTGTGTGAGCGGCTCTGTTCATTCATACACGGTGTACGGATCTAAAACAGCTACAGCTGCCTCCAGATCAAAACTGCAGACAAGGTAAGAGTTTTGTGTTGTGCGTTTTGTGTTGGATGTGTTTTATTGTTGTTGTTTGTGTGTTTGTTCTTGTGGTCTCTGCAAAAGCCTTTGACTTATAAACTTTAGACTGTACAAGTTTATACTGAACTATAACATGTAGATTGTACAAGTTTATACTGAACTATAACATGTAGATTGTACAAGTTTATACTGAACTATAACATGTAGATTGTACAAGTTTATACTGAACTATAACATGTAGATTGTACAAGTTTATGCTGAACTATAACATGTAGATTGTACAAGTTTATGCTACAGTTTATGACCAGGACCACAGATCTTTAGGTATTTTCTAATTTACCAGTGAATGTTGTTTTTAACATTTACTTCCGGTGAGACATGTGCTCCTGCTCTGATACTTTCTGTGCAAAATCCTGTTGCAAATTGCATTTTTAATACAAGTGTGCACGGATAGTTGTCTTTGATAAGGAGAGAAAGCCAACGAACGCTAAGATGACCAGAGAAAAGGGGAAAACTGTAACACAGTCGAAGTTTTCCAAGAGGCTCTGGCTGCAGACACATGGGGAAAGTGGAGCTCCACTCCAGACCGGAAACACGTGACCTCCACCGAAGACGTCATCTCTACTTTTATGTAGAACTATGGGGCGACGAAACCATTTATTTTGACCGCAATTAAATGTTTATTAAATAAGATTGTTTTTAGGTTATGGAATTTGTTCACACATACAAACACAGAGCAAAACGACCATCTGGAAGACGGAGAAAACATGTGAGTAACACTTTTACCTTTAGGAAATCATCACTAACACAACTGTAAATGTAAAATACAGCCATAACTCCCACAAAACTGTCAAATAAGTTTATTTTTAACTGCGTGAACCTCGGAGATTTGAGCTAAAAGTTTGATTAGTAATCTGCAGCTAACGCGATGAAAAGTCAGCTCAAACTTTCATATTTGGACACATTTCCATCAAACACTCATCATGTTTTTACTGTTTGGGGTAAAGAAGCTCACAGATGATTTAATGAAGCTACGAGGAGAAAACGCCGCATTTTCACGCACAGTGACTGGGTTAAACTTGTAAACACTTGGCCAGTATAAGTGTAAGTGCGGTAAGATAAAAACACGCATTATTTCATGTATTAAACATAAAAGACACAGTTTTTTATGTTTAATGTATAAAACATTAAACATGTCAAAGCTTATATTTACTTATATTCACGTAACATAAACCTCAAACGTGTGCATTTCATTCTGGGAACACATGATCTGCTTTTAATAATCGGTGCATGTTTGTAAAGTGAAAAGTAAAGACTCCTGCCTGGACACGTCAGATATAAGGTGAACATGAGGCTCATGGACACATGTGTGCAGACACTGTTGTAGATACTAGACACATGTGTCTGTTCAGTCTGTCACATCTAATATCAGAACAGTGAGTCAACTGTTTGAGATTCATGTTCTTTTCTCATCTGCAGCTTCCTGTATGAGAACACAACACACTGCTGGGGCCACAGAACTGTTGGCTGATGAGACGCTCATGATTCATGAAATGGGTCAAATGCAGATGACAAAGAAAAGTGACACTGAGCAGGAGGTGTGACCCAGACTCTGCCTCTGTTTAGGTCTGGGACATGTTACATTGAAAACTCCAATAATAATAAGAGCTGCAAATGAATCAGGCTCATGTTGAAATCATTATTTAATTTTCTGAAAATACACATTTCTCAGATGTGTGGGATTTAACTGTTTGGATTTATGTAATAGTTTTCTTAATGAGTTTGTCATTACAGGTTTTCACTCTGCAGACAGAAATTTCAACCAGTCAGACTTAAGGCCCATTCTGCTCTTCCTCCTCCAGAAGACGAGAGACACATCAGACTGAATGATCCAAGTCCACTGGGTCATGTCTCCACTGTCCATGTCCAGACTCACAGAGGAGGAGGAGGAGGAGGAGGCAGGAGGAGGAGGAGGAGCAGGTCCAGACTGCAGCAGACTGTGGAGCCTCTGGTAGCGTCAGGTCTTCCTCCTGCACATTCTGTTTGCTGCTGTTCCTAATGTGTCCTAATAGTGATGTGTCCATAAAGTTTAGGTTTAACGTCTAATTTCCTCCAGAAGTGAAACAGTAAAATGGTGGTTTCTGTTCGTCTTGGCTGAGGAGCATACATTTCAGAGGAAGTGTCTGATAAATGTCCTTATGACCTTAACAAGTGTATGAGACTAGTGAATTGTTAAGTTCTGAATGTTTCAGTGTACTGATGTTTGATATGAAATGTCATCTTCTCTTTTGAAAGTTACATGGCATTGGTGGTGCGGTGTTGAAAGCTTCTGTTCCAAGTCCTCCATGAAAAAACTGCTCATTATTGCGGATAGTGGATCTCCCATTGCAAACCCCTCTTTCTGTCGGTAAATGGTGCTATTGTATTGGAAGTATGTTGATTTGGCCACGAAACGTAATAATTGTGAAATGTCATCATCGACTGTGAGATTTGTGCGTTTTTTGAGAGTTCTGTCCTTTTGAAGTTTTTCCTGTACTATGCGTAGTGTGACATCTACTGTCTGTCTTTAAAAAGAATCATTCATGTCGGAACTAACCATCTCAAAATGTAAGAGTCAGAAATCCTCAAGGACAACTTCAAAATCCTCATCAGCACAATCCACAGTTTAGACAAACAGTGAGTCGTCTCTGGACCTTTTGTTCCACCTCGTTTTGGAGACGAGAAGTTCAGCCACAAACTCCTGGAGTTTCTCAGTCCCCGTTCACTTTAAACACGGCCCTTTTAAATGTCCGCTCGCTGCTCAACAACTCTTTTATTGTTCATGACCTGATTTTAGTCACAAACTCGACTGTTTCTTTTGAACTGAAACATGGCTGAGTCCAGATGCACCAGTTGTTCTCACAGACGCCTCATCACCTGCTTTCAACTTTGCTTTTTCAAGTAGAAAAGGTCAAAGTGGAGGTGGCTCTGCTTCTATTTGTACAAACACTTTGGCCACAAACCCATTTTATTCAACAATTGTACAAGTTTTAAACACCACTCAATTGTTTTTATTTGATGATTTTCTGTGTCACAGTGAACAGACCAACAAAGAAATGTCAGATTTTTTCAATGATGACATTTGACACAATTCAATGTGAACAGACCAACAAAGATTTGACATCAACTTTTGATTAAGATTAAATGATCAGAGTTTTTTATCAATGTTTGTCACAATTTTGATCTATATTATACACAATTCTTTTAATATGATTATTATTATTATGATGATGAAGAGAGAGTCGCCCTCGTCTTCGTCAGGCGTCTCGTAAAGTCTCTGTCCGTGCCGTGTCGTTTGTCGTGTCGTCCGTCCACTTTAAAGTCCAGGTGCTTTTCTAGTTCTTGGTTTGGTGGACAGAACCTGCGCTCGATATTTCTCACAGTTTTACATCAGTTCAGTTTGTGAAGAAAAGAGACGGTTTACGCACAAAGACCGACTTTTTCTGACACTTTATTCCTTCATTTAAATAAATAAAGCTGTTGTTATTTATTTGTGTGAGTTTAATCAGATTTATTGTGACATTTAGACACATTTGGTTCTTGTTTACATTATGGTTGCTATGGTAACAGTTATGGAATCACCTCCTTCTTTTTCTCTCTCTGAACCAGAACTGAACCAGGTCTAAACCAGGTCTAAACCAGGTCTGAACCAGGACTAAACCAGGTCCTCTCACCAGGAGGTTGTGGGTTAGACTCCTGATCTCTGTGAGTGGACTGTGCATTTGCACCAATCTATAAGAAGAACTGTCTAAGCCCCTCCCCTTCTGTCCCAGGTGAGATCGACTAGTTTTGTTCATTATAAAAAAACAACATTAAACGTTCAACATGTGAAAGTTTCCACAAGAGCAGACCACCTCTCTGTTGCCATGGTTTCCATCTAATATTAATACAGATGGAAAAGTACATCGTAATCACCGGGAAAATGATTTAGCTCCCCTCTGGGACGATGTCATCACATTCTAGAATCTCAAATAGTTTTGGAGCCTGAGAAGCTGTCGCCGTAGCAACGTGATGTTCTAATGCCGCCCTGGATCTCCATGGTGATAGAACTCTGCTTGATGACATCATCAGAGAAGCACGACGCTGCTTTAAAGTAAACTTTGAGTGACACAGTGAAATGCACATCAATAAGTTATTAGATACTTTTACTGTTACTGTGTTTACATGTTCACTGACAAACCTGGACACTCATATCCACGACATGATCAAATGGAGTTTCTTGACATAATCTTACAAATGCGCACGCAAAAATTAACATAAATCAATTTCATAAACCAGGAAAAATACAAACCGTGAGCTCCTTTAGCATCAGAAGCTAAGGAGCTACGAGATCTCCCACAATCCACTGTGCAGATTCTTCATTCAAATCTTCTGCATAAATAAACTCAACTTTACAACATCTAAACCATAAACACTATAGACACATCAGCTGTTTGATCAGATCATTCAGCTCTGATCACATTTGTTTATGTTTTACAGAAACGAAACTTAAGACCGTTTGGCTAATTAGCATAAACTGTTAGCGGTGATAAAAACAACTGCTCCTTGTGTCGCTGATGTGGTTCAGTTTCTTTTGGACTAAATGACTCGACTCAGTGGATTATGTGAGTTGTTTCTGTGACAGAAGAGGTGCTGATGATGGTGAGTCTGAAACTGTGTGTGTGTGTGTGTGTGTGTGTTGTACAGGAGATGGTTCATGTTTTAGTTTTTCAGCGTCAACACGAGTGCAGATTGTACATGTGCAGGTTTAGTGCAGCTCTTTATTTTACATCATTTCACTCGTTTGGTCAATTTATTTATGTTGGTCAGTTTATTTATGTCAACTACTGTTGGTGAAAGGCTGGAAAGTGTCTTTTGGACACATGCGACTCAACTTTATGTTGCAGAACCGGGAAACTGCGTTTACATGTCACAAGTATCACAGTTACTATCTGAATAAACCAGCTACAGTAACTCAGTTTCTAAAGCAACAAAACGAGAGGAACCGAAATTTAGAAAATCAGAACCAGCAACAAAACGAGACGATCCAAAACTTAAACAATCAGAACAAAGATCTGTGCGAAAGGATCGAAAAGTCCTCGGTTAAGAACCAGAAGCTACAGGAGGTGAACCGAATGTTTTTACGCATCATCCACTTACACTTCGAAGAACAGACCAAGAGGATCTGCTTGCAGCAGGAGTCACTGGAGAAAGTTCAGATGAGGTGTGATGAAGCAGAAGGTGAAGTCTGCCCACACCTACGAGATCTGAAGGAGGAACGTCAACAACATGCTCAGCTGAAAGACTCCCATTCAGAGCTCCTCAAAGCTGTCACCGAGCTCAACCCAGAGAAGGTGAATTTGAAGGAGGAGCTCGAAACGTTGAGGACAGGAGTCGGTTCCTCAGGCGCTCGGGAATTTTTTTAAAAAAATCTTATAAGAAGCGCATGTCTGAAGATCTGAAAAGTGTGGAGAACAGGTTATCGGAGGAGCTTAGAGAGACAGAGAGACAACGACAGAGGATCACAGAACTGTTGGAGGAGATGGAGATTCTCTGTGATGAACATGAAAAGATCAAACAGGAGAAAACACGTCTGCAAGAGCAAATCCAGCAGATGCGTGAAGAGCTGCAGAAAGCCCAGGCCAAAGCTGGTCATATATGTGAGTTAGGGTTAGGGGCGTCTTGTGTGCTCTTTTTCTTTTTTTTTGTGTGTTTCAGATGCCCTTAAATAGACATGAAGACAGAGGAAGAGAAGAGGGATTAAAGAGGGAGGGAGACAAGGAAGCACTAAAAAGTGACAAGTCCTGATGTGACTGAACCAGGATTAAACCAGGACTAAACCAGGACTAAACCAGGACTAAACCAGGATTAAACCAGGACTGGAGTCACAAGACAGAAAATTATAACTCCAATCTGACGAGACGATCCAAAACTTAGAAAATCAGAACGAGGAACAAAACGAGATGATCCAAATCTTAAACAATGAGAACCAGGAACAAAACGTAAGGTCCAAAACTTAGAAAATCAGAACCAGCAACAAAACAAGAGGATCCAAAACTTAAACAGTCAGAACAAAGATCTGTGGAAAGGATCAAAAAGTCCTTGGTTAAAACCAGAAGCTACAGGAGATGATCCAAACAGGAGAAAACACATCTGCAAGAGCAAATCCTTAGTCCAGATTAGAGTCCTGGTTTAAACCTGGTTTGAGACCTGGTTTAGACCTGTGGTGTCAAGATTCAATGTGTTTAGACTCTGGGACCGATGGCGCCGATTGACATGGCAGCCACGCTTCTGTCAGTCTGCCCCAGGGCAGCTGTGGCTACAACAGTAGTTTACATCAGCAGGTGTAGAGTGAATGAATAATGCTGAATAATGTTCTGTAAAATATCTTTGTGACAAAAAGCGCCGTCTCTATTCAGACGCGCCGCTATTACAACATGTTTTATATTTGTGACTACAAAATAAATCAACTATTCTAAATATTTTAAAATATATCAACATTTCATCATTTGTAAATCTAGTTATTGAAAAAAACGAAATCACACACAAAGTCGGACTCTCCTGAAACTCTGAGAGAATCGAAACAACAAAAATGTAGAGCTGTATCATAATAATTTAGTAAAACAAACCAAAAACTACTCTGGGTGATATATCGATACAGCAGCCCACGATATCGATACTGTATCATCACATTAAACCATACGATATATCGATATTTTTGCACACCCCTAACGAACTGATGCTGAGTCTGAGGACAACGACGCAGAAGAGTTTGTGTGGCTCCGTTTCCCTCCGGAGGTCGAGGTCGAGTTGTTCAGAAGTGACACGAGGATGAAGACCTGAAGTGATTTAGTGATTTGGAGGGAAACAGAGAGTTTGTTCAACTTGTTCTGTTGTTTATAGTTTATCTGA